GTTCTGGGTCTGGTGGTTCTTGGTCTGATGGTTCTGGGTCTGGTGGTTCTTGGTCTGATGGTTCTGGGTCTGGTGGTTCTTGGTCTGATGGTTCTTGGTCTGATGGTTCTTGGTCTGATGGTTCTGGGTCTGATGGTTCTGGCTCTGAAGGTTCTGGGTCTGATGGTTCTGGGTCTGATGGTTCTTGGTCTGATGGTTCTGGGTTTGATGGTTCTTGGTCTGATGGTTCTGGGTCTGATGGTTCTGGGTCTGATGGTTCTGGGTCTGATGGTTCTGGCTCTGAAGGTTCTGGGTCTGATGGTTCTGGGTCTGATGGTTCTTGGTCTGATGGTTCTGGGTTTGATGGTTCTTGGTCTGATGGTTCTGGGTCTGAAGGTTCTGGGTCTGATGGTTCTGGCTCTGATGGTTCTGGGTTTGATGGTTCTGGCTCTGATGGTTCTGGGTTTGATGGTTCTGGCCCTGATGGTTCTGGGTCTGATGGTTCTGGGTCTTGTGGTTCTGGGTCTTGTGGTTCTGGTCCTGATGGTTCTGGGTTTGATGGTTCTGGTCCTGATGGTTCTGGGTTTGATGGTTCTGGCCCTGATGGTTCTGGGTCTGATGGTTCTGGGTCTTGTGGTTCTGGGTCTTGTGGTTCTGGCTCTGATGGTTCTGGGTCTTGTGGTTCTGGGTCTTGTGGTTCTGGTCCTGATGGTTCTGGGTCTGCTGCGGCAGGCACAGGAAGTGATGTAACGAGGGTCTCTGACCCGTAACGACCCAAACAGAACTTTAAAGGAGAACTGGACCAGAGTCCAAAGACTGAAGTCAGATGAAGAGTTTTAGCAGCAGGAGGTCCAGGTGAGTAAAAACCTCCAGAACCAACAGAACCAACAGAGACCAGAGGGACCACCATCCTTCAGAACCACTGATCCAGTTCAGCAGATCAGGACCAAACCTAAAGAATCTGGATCAGGAGTTCTTAGCTGCCATGTGAGGCGTGCTCCCCGTGTCATTAGGTACCAGTCTCCCCAGACCCTCTGGGTTCAAAAGTTGAAGTTCTGCTGCCGACCCGCTTCCTGCAGGTTAGAGGCTTATGGGTCGGTAATCCTGTGTGTGTAACTGATTTAATGAACAGAGGCCGGACCCTCTAATCCTGCAAAGACCTTCAGCTACTTGAAATACATTCAGCTGCAGTTCTTCCCCTTGATGTGGACCAGAACCATAAATCTGGGTTCTGAGAGGAGGTTCTGACGGGTCAGGCTGAGTTCTCCCACACTGAATCACCTGCTCAGGTTCAGGAGGAAACTGGCTCTTTAATTCAGCTCTACATGGGCTTTAGAGTTCTTCTGGACTGATCCAGAACCGATCCAGAACCGACCCACGAGTTTTAGCTTGATTACATGGAGTTTTTAATGAAGTCTGAGTATCTGAGCCTGGAGGTAGGTCCGGTCAGCAGCAGTAAGGATGATTTAAACCCACCTCCTGGGACCCCCTGATGTTCAGAGGAACATGTCTGAAAGTTTTTATTTAAGCTCACAGATCAGAAAATTTAACAAAAATAAAGTTTTTTGTAAAGTTTTTATTTGTGCTGTTATGAGGGTTAATTTTGAAGCGTGCAGCGCCCCCTTCTGGTGGACCAGGAGAGAACAGTTGTTATTTACAGTCCAGTTTGAATATCAGCGTATTTTGTTTGTTTTTTAGTTTGTTTTTACAGTCTTTGTTTAGTCCTCTGCTCCTCTGTTTCCTGACCACGCCCCCCTGGTTTCCTGTTTCCTGATGACATCATCCTCCTCAGACGAAGGTTCTCAGTCGGGGCTGACGGGGGCGTAGTCTTCATCATCTGATCAAACAAAAACCAAGAAAAACAACATTAAAACCTGTAAATCCCACGTCTGTAGCATCTGTCAGGTGTCGCTCACCTGAAGACTGCWGCTTCGGTTCTGACCCGAACATGAAGTGGGTGTTAGGCCCATAGTGCATATGGGGGTGGGGCACCGGCGCCTGGGTTGGTTCTGGTTCTGTAAACCCAGAGGGAACAGTTGAAAAGGTTTCAGTTTGTCTCATCAGTTCCTCCCACTCAGAAAACAGAAACATCAGTTTTCCACACTCTAACTCTAAAAACGCACTCTGACCTGAAAACATTAAGTCAAGAGTCAAAACTAAACACTGAGATTRAAATCTGTTCCAGAGTTTATGAATAAACTGGACCCACCGGCGCCGTCGGGGATCAGGTTCTCATAGCATTCATCAGAGGAGGTGCTGGAGGAGTCGAAGGAGTCCTCGGACAGCTTGGACACTCGGTGGTTTTTAGGATCTGAGGCTCCTCCGTTAAAGTTAGTAAAACCTGCAGGTGCTTCGTTTCCAGCTTCAGGGCCTGAAATATAAACAAACTGGAGATCATTTCTTCACCTCAGATTGTGTCGGAAAATTTAAAATACATAAACTTTGACTTGTTTTATATTTTATTGTTAAAGTTTAGTTTCTCTCCTCTGTCCTGATTTAGTTTCCTGTTTGTGTTCTGTTCAATAAAGCAGTTATTACAGGTTAGTTATCAACTGGAGCTACTTCCTGTTTGTTTTATTAGTTATCATCAACTGGAGCTACTTCCTGTTTGTTTATTAGTTATCAACTGTAGCTACTTCCTGTTTGTTTTATTAGTCATCAACTGTAGCTACTTCCTGTTTGTTTTGTTAGTTATCATCAACTGCAGCTACTTCCTGTTCGGGTCATGCCTCTGCACACTCACCTTCTTCACTCAGCCTCTGCAGACACGGAGGCCTCATCAAAGGGTTAACGTTGGTTCTGTACCGCTGAGAATCTGCAGAACGACACGGTGCAGCAGTTAGATGAGGTGACATCCTGCAAACCCTCCGTTCAGAACTGATCTGCAAACAAACTGCAGCTCGACCGCAACATGCAGAAAAACACAAGAAGCAAAGAGAACGGAGGGGAAGAAGGAGGAGAAGGAGGAGGGCGCTCACTGTGGAAGGTGGATAAACGGACAGACGGGTCAGTGTTTGGGTCGCTCTGCTCATAGTCTGTGTCTACTGACGTGCTGTCAGCGCTACTAAGCTGTGTCCACAGAAACCTGGAGCTGGAGATGAGGACTTGACAGAACAAAACAAGACAAGACTCCATGAACAGGAGCAGGTTGTGATGTTAGCTGAGCAGTGATTAGTATGAAGCAGAACCCTCTGCTCTGAGGCATGTCTTACTGTCGCTCTGCTCAGGGTTGGCTGTGACCTTCACCAGGTTCACCGAGTCCTTGTAGTTGTTCTGAGCATGTTCACCTGGACCGCGCTGGAAGGAGCGGACCTTCTGGAGCAAGAAAGCTGCACAAGAAACACAGAAACACCGTTTAAGATCCTAAACTTTAAGTTCTGCTGCAAGTAAAACAAGTTAACAGGACAAATCTCAGCGCCACCCGCAGGAGGTGCTAACCGTGGCGTCGTCTGTACAGGCAGCACAGAACCGTGTTGATGATGAGGAGGATGAGGAGCAGCAGGGACAGAGCGATGGTGCTGAGGAGCTCTGGAGATGGTGGATCTTTAACAGGAGCAGCTGCTGTGGTCACTGCATCTGGATTAACAGAGACACCTTCATCACTTCCTGTTCATTAACACAGAGACACCTTCATCACTTCCTGTTCATTAACACAGACACCTTCATCACTTCCTGTTCATTAACACAGAGACATCTTCATCACTTCCTGTTCATTAACACAGAGACATCTTCATCACTTCCTGTTAACAGAGACACCTTCATCACTTCCTGTTAACAGAGACACCTTCATTACTTCCTGTTCATTAACACAGAGACATCTTCATCACTTCCTGTTCATTAACACAGAGACATCTTCATCACTTCCTGTTAACAGAGACACCTTCATCACTTCCTGTTAACAGAGACATCTTCATTACTTCCTGTTCATTAACACAGAGACATCTTCATCACTTTCTGTTCATTAACACAGAGACACCTTCATCACTTCCTGTTCATTAACACAGAGACACCTTCATCACTTCCTGTTCATTAACACAGAGACACCTTCATCACTTCCTGTTCATTAACACAGACATCTTCATCACTTCCTGTTCATTAACAGAGACATCTTCATCACGTCTTGCTCATAACTCACAGGGACATTAGTTGTGCTCGTACTGTTAGTATTGCTGTTATTATAGTAGTATTGATGGTAGTACTAGTACTTGTAAATATTTACATGCTGTGGTTGTGGAGTTGAACACAGCTGGACTCTCAGTGGGCGGAGGAAGAAGGCCCAGAGAACCTGCAGAAAACAAATGTAAACCTTGAAGTGGGCGGAGTTAAAGTGGTCAGAGTACGTAGAGGAGTCCTCTAATGAGAGAGTTGGTGGTTCAGTTCCACCTGTTCAGTCACATGTCAAAGTGTCCCTGGGCAAGACACTGA